CCTTCACGGGTTATAGAAAGCAGGAAAGTGAGGGCTTGGTACCGAAAAGCCTCTACACCCCGAGTGCCTTCAACTTTCATCTTTGCTGTTGTCTTTCTTGACCCTTGTTGGGAGCTGTTGACCTCTGCAAAAAAGCAAACAAACTCCAAAACCGTACGTCTATGTGAGCTACCATTGCTATACTCACCAGGACAGGCTGTCATCCTGCGTCCCTGGTTAAGAGACACATTGCCCGTTTTCCACGTCGTGTCAGCTGCGATGAGGTAAAACATCATAGAGCAGCAGTATGAGGCAGAAGAGGAAGCAGAGAAGCGGAGGGAGAGGCTGAGTGTGATGGACTTGTCACTCAGAGGCAAGGCCGCAGAGACCTTCTCGTCTCAATCCGACACCATTGCCACTTTCCAGCGTTTCTCAGCAGTCACCAATCGCTCGGTGGATGAATCCTTAGATCTGGCTACATTCCCTTCATCTACTCCTCACGCCCCCCACTCCTGAACACCGCGCTGGGGAACAAGCCATTCAGCAACCACAGCGTGGCCTGCAAGAACACCTGGTCCCTGTGTCATTTCTGTTTCTGTTCATGGAGACTGAACGTCTGTCTCAACTACAAATCACTCAGGGCCTCTAACGTTTATCCTCATTTTTCAACACTATTTTAAGTCAAGAATTTACATTTAAGCTGGTTTTTTTTCTCTTTTAAATCAGAAATACTTAAGCAATAATTTAACATTTTGATCAACCAGATGTATAGAAAGCTACATGACATACTATAATCTTCATTAAAACCTTTAGTGCTTTTTTTTTAGTTAGTACTTTTGTGCATTGATATAAAGCTGTGATGGGATCAGCTGAAGTAATTAATTTATTTTTTAGCACTTAAATAAACTCTTCATTTCTAAATGAAAATGTTTAGAAATCTTGTCTAACTTTTTTTTTTATCAACTCATGGAGTTGGGTGTTATTTTTATTCCCATTTTATGGATCTGAAAACAGCTGCATATAAACTACAGGGTCAACAAGATCCAGTTGTGTGTTTTGTATGTTGGACTCCCATGAAATATTTAGTCTGAACAAAAAGATCATAGCCAAAGTGTTTGAAAACCATTCCCAACACCATACTTTACTCTTTACATAAATGTATAGGAAAGTCTTCTAAGTTGTAGCATTTCTGTTCTCAGTAAAGGGTAATTTAAATTCATTGAAAACACATTTTTCCTAAAATACAGTTCGGTTCTAAAATGTTCTCTGAGGCTTAGAAACAGTTTTTGAAATATGTTTTTATTGCTCGCAGTTAAATTTCTTTGATTCAAAAAATTTAAACTTATTCATCTTAGCTGAAAAGGTCTACAACATGTCATATTTTGAGGACACATAGAAAAGTTTTTCATGCCTTTAAGTTGGTAAATAATGCATTTCATGTAGTAAACATGTGTGTGTTGGCAATAGAGGGACTTGCCATGGCCTTATAGTCTAAATTTTAGGGACTTGATTGCGCCAAGACAACAAAAGATTATTAAATCTTAAGGGAATATATTAAAACAAAAGAAGGAGAGAATTAATAATGACAGACTAGATTGCATGATTCCCATGAAAGCATGTGAAATAAACTCATTATTACACCTAATACACTTTAATAGATGTTCAGTGGCTCTGTGCAGTTTAGAATTGAAACTGGAGTTTTCTGTGTAACTGTCAGTCATGACAGTTTTTTGTGAAGAGTACACAGGAGTAACTTCCGAGTGGGAAAATGCTAGTCTACCGTGTAACCCCTGTCATGGTGCCATTGAGGAATGGTTCTGTTTCTTTTCCTGGAGTGTGATGCCCTTTCTGTGAGCAGAGAACTCTGATTTTTTTTTTTTCATTCATTCGTTCTTCTAGAATTCTCATGAGTGTACGTAATGTACTTTGATCATATCAATCCCATACTCCCCGTCAAACTCCTCCCAATGATACCCCTGAACCTCTCTCCCAATTTCATGTCATCTTTCCACAGCCCCCTAAGATCACTCAGCGCTGTTCATATATGTATGTCTGTATGTAGAGCCTTTCACTAGGGTATGGGCAGCCTACAAGAGGCCACCTCCCTGAAGAATGGTTACTCTCAGTGTCCTGGCTATCTTCAGCTCTTAACGTACCTTGGCTGGGGTTGGGACGTCTTGGCACAGTCCTCTATCCATGCTGGAACTAACTGGTTCCATCTTGTTTAGCAGGTCTTGTATGGGCATCTACAGCTGCTGTTAGTTCATGAGTGTAATGGCTCTGTCGTGTCCCGAAAACACTTGCTTAGCAACCCTCATCAACCTCTGGCTCTTAAAATCCTCTGCCCTCAGGAGTGCAAGAGCCAAAGGGGATGGAGGACACCAAGAAAACAAGGCCCTCCAAGTCCACGTGAGCTAAGCTCATGTGAAATCAGAGACTGAGGCAGCATGCACAGGCCCTGCACAGGTCTGAATCAGGTCCTCCGTGTATATATCATGGCTTCCAGTTTAGTGTTCTCACGTGACTCCCGAGTGTGTGAATAAGTAGGTATCTGATTCTTGTGCCTTCTTCTGTTTGTTTGTCTTTGTCAACTCTAGTGTATTCGTTTTTATTCCTTAGGTGCCTGTTTGTTTTCTATTCAGAGGCAGAAAGGGGTGTGTCTTCATGAGATGGGAAGCAACAAGAAACTTGGAGGAGCAGAGGGAAGGGACACTGTAGTTAGGATATATTACGGGAGGAAAAGTCTGTTTCAATAAAATGAAAAAAACAAAGAAGAAGAAAAGTCTTTCTGTTGTCTTCTAGAATGTCTACTGAGCTATTGGGAGAACACAGCACAGAGGTCCCACTTGGGGGCAGCCACTCCATAGTTATTCATTCTCTTCCCTCTGACCACGTGCGAGAGACAGAGACAGAGAGAGAGAGAGAGAGAGAGAGAGAGAGAGAGAGAGAGAGAGAGAGAGAGAGAGAGAGACCTAATTTCATTACCTTATGTAATTTGAGAATTTTCTTTTAGGACCATCTTGTATTGACAATTTGAATTTGCAAATATATTACAGATGAAGAAGAGGATATTACTGTACAAAACAGATATGAAGATGTAGAAATATTTACCCAAAAGATGAATGTTTTTGTATCTTCCATTTTGAAGTGTTTTTACACTTCACTAACACTTACTTAGTGTGGTGTTATTACGGTAACCGATTAATAACAACACTTACTGTCTAGTTGCTACATTCCCAAAATCAGATATAAGTTCTTGTAAGAATGTAATTATGCTTTTACTTGTAAATCTTCAGAATGATAGGAAGTTGTTTCATTTTTGTTTCCAGAAAATGTATTTCCTAGCTTTCCTGATTCCCATCTTCTGGCTGAGGAAGTACTGGGTTTCCAGAAATGAGCTTTACACAATCAAGTATGGAGAGAGTGGTTACTTTTAGACAAGCATGCAGAAAGAAGCGAACGTTCCATAAATCAGTTGTGTCATAGTTTTGTTCATTAGAATATGGATTTTTTGTTTGAGAAGCCTGGGCACTTGGTGAATCTATGGGATTCAGATCTTTACAGGTGCAGGACTAGGAGAGCAAATGCAGAAGAAAGCGTTGTTATGAGTAGCTTTCCTGCCAGCCTGGTCCCACAGCTGCGCCAGCCACAAATAACACACAGAGACGTTGCATTAGATATAAAGCTGTTGGCCTGTTACTGGCATTCCTTATTGGCTAGCTCTGTCTGAAATATTAACCCATTTCTATCAATAAGTATTTCCATGTGGTCTCATCTTACTGGAGAGAGAGTCGGGACCTCTGCTCTCTTGGTCCTATATGTTCTCTCCTCCTACCTCTTCCTGAATCCTCCTTGTCTCCTAGTCCTGTCTGTTTTGCTTTCCTATTGGCCAACAAGGGCTTTATTCATTAACCAATAAGAGAAACATATTTACAGAATGACATCTCCCATCACACTGTGCAAACCATTTCAGTGGGTGAAATTACCAAAATTCATGCTAGACAAAGTCGGAACTGCTCACGAATTCCTAGGATTGTCACTGATGAGGCACAGACATGTGCAGTTTTTCCGTTCCTGAAACAGAGTCAGACTTGAGCTGTTAGGACCAACAAAAGAAGTCCAACAAATAAATCCCTTTGTCTTCTTAGATCGTCCCCTTCCGTGATTCTGCCAGAAACTGATGCGTCAGGCTTCTTAGCCACAAAGCCACACATAAGGGCTCCTTCTGAACTCAAAGGATGTTCAGAACGGAGCCGTTCTTTCCCACTGGCTAAGCAACAGACCGAGGCATCCCCTAGAAGCAGCTAGCCCAGGAGCAGTGGCACCAACAAATGCTTTTTGTCTGTAGGGCAGAGGCACAGTGTTAGGCTTCATCAGCTACCTAATGCAATGTAACTGGGGAGATAAGATAAATCAAGGGGATGACACTATATTAGATTTGAAAGATGAGAGCTCCTCCAAAGTCATTGCAGAGTGTATATTTCAGCGCTGCTAACCTCAGGAGGTTGTTGTAGTCGAAAGTCCGTGCAACAAAACCAGTCTCTTAAGTGTTAGGTAGCAAGTAAGTAGAGTCCTGCTTATTTCTCTTAAATAAATTTCCTAAGGAGAAGTGAGATTCGCCCATTACATCCTTTTCAATGTAGTTTTTGTGTATAGCTTCATTATATGCCCAGGTGGGGATATATATATATATATATATTTAAAATGAATACATCTAATGTGCATCATATATTGGCTCAAGAGATTTATTTTTACTGCTTAATTTTCTCTTTATTGATTGCTAAATTGTTCTGAATGGAAATGTCTGCAACTTGCTTGGAACAGATCATTTATCATTATAGTTGGTGAGATTCTCGTTACCTCAATGTAAGAATTTGGTTATCATTAAGTACCACGATGCGGTTTTCCTTCCCTTGAACACTCGAAGCCTCAGTGCTGTCCATTCATTGTGTAGAATAACTTCCCGCTTACGAATTGAAAGGTGGAGAAACATACTGCAACTGACTCCTGTTCTTTTGTAGCCCACGGTGTGTGAGAGAGAGCTGTGTGTATTTGCTTTCCAAACCCTGGGGGTGATGAATGAAGCTGCTGACGATATAGCTACTGGAGCTCAGGTATTCGTGCTAACTGGGTCTTGTTTTGATTTGAAAAATTTGTTACAGTCTACTGCTGTTTTCTCTGAGCTGTTCTTCAGGGGAGAATTCTTGCTTCTTGCTAAAAGCAACATGACACTTGATTTTTTTTTCTTTTAAATCTGTGCTTTGTCTTTTTGCAGTGGTCTGGGGGGAGAAATTAAACAATTTCCTTTTAAAAATAAGTGTCTTGCATGGTAAATGGTGCAGAAAACCCTGTTTTTTATGTTTGTTTTATAGTTTTGTTTGGTTTTTTTTTTTTCCTTTTTGGTACAGAGGCCTATTTGTTTTATTTTTATTGAGTTATCTATCTGGAGGATTGCACTATGTATCCCTGGGTATCCTGGAAATTGCTGTGTAGATCAGGCTAGCCTCCGCCTGTCTCTGCCTCCCAAATGCTGGTATTGAGGATATGCACCACTGGGCCCAGGTTTTTGTGGTTTGTTGTTGTTGAAAACACAGTTACACCAGGCCCTGTTTATTGAAACCGTGTCCTAATGTGTGGCCCAGACTGGCCTTGAGTTGAGCCTACTACTGCGACGGTGTCTCAAGGGCTGGGATTATAGTCATGCACCATCACGCCTCATTGACTACATTCTTAAAACACTTGCTTAAAATATTTGTGGCTGTGACTTTCCCCATCCGTACCCATACTGAGTTACATCTGTTCAGACGGGTTCCTTCCTGGAGACAGCAAGTTCTCCTGGGAACTGGGGAAAGGAGGAAACTTGTAGCATAGGCAGTACCAGTGTCCTTGTGAGTCAGCCAAGAGATCATTGAATTGTAGCAACCAGGCCCACCGTGTTTAACAATGATCATTAATAGCTTTTGACGGAGGAGAGAAATGAGAGGCAAGGTGACTGACTCCCCGTAGAAAATGGCAAACTCATCATGGCTTCTCTAGCTGGAGGAAGCGTCCTTCCCTATAGTGCCAGGCCTCTCTTCCCCGTATCGTATTCGGGTCTCTACAATAGCTTCAGACGCCCATACACACTGTTATCTAACACCTGCTTTGCTATCATTCCATTTAAGAACACCAGAGACTGAAGTGAAAGCATGCATCCCTTTAATTGATACTTGTTTGTGTATCTTGTCCAATAGACTACACACAGCCTACCAGCACAGACATGTCTTATTCACACGAGTCTTTTATTTTAAATCAGTGGACCCATTTGGCCATGCTTGGTATAAATTGGTGAACTACAGATTCAAGAGGCAGGTGATAGAGCAGGACAGAGAACAGGAAAACACCTGCTCCAAATCAGCGGTGACTCAAAATCTCGTGTGTTTTCCAAGGTGGTAGATCTACTCGTGTCCATGTGTAGATCTGCGTTGGAATCTCCTAGAAAAGTCGTCATTTTCGAGCCATATCCTTCTGTGGTAGATCCCAACGACCCTCAGATGTTGGCCTTCAACCCCAGGGTAAGTGGTTAACGCCGGTCCACCATGCCCATAGCTCCAGAGAACCATGACGGAGGGTTCAGTCTCACGGCTCTCTTCCCTTGAACGTCTGTCTTGGCAGACACTGTAAGGTCGTAGCATATGTTTCAGGAATCTGTAATCTCACCGGGATGTAAGGAACCATTGTCAAGGTTTCCCCTTTCTTCTTCATCCCCTGTTGCTCCACGCCCTTCTCCTTAGAAGTTAACAACAGCTAAGTCCATATTGTTTAAAAACTCACGTTTCTTAGGAAGACCATCTCATGGGCACTTATGGCAGATTCTTTCTGAAATAACAGAATTTAAAATTGGCTGAGATCCAGGATTGCTTAGTTTATAATGTTGTTCATCTCGAAGCCCTTTTAGCGACTGAATAATACACCTCGGAAGACCTTTCCTTCCTCATTTACATTCTGCATAGGCATGAGGGATCATTTGAGCACATACTGCCACCTCACTCTTTGGGTAACAGTGTTCCAGTCTAAAATTAAAGCACTTGGGATATTTGAAGTGTACCTTCTTCCAGAAGGACTCTAAGCTTGCTTTATTGCTTATTGCTCTGAGCCCAGAATCTTTCTGTATTTTGAGATTTTTTTTTTTTATCCCAGAGAGGTGAACAAGGTTTTGTGCCCTTATGTAAGGAATAATGCTTTAGGTTTTCTTCCATGTGATTCTGGATATCAGTCCTCTGACCTTGAGCTATCTTACTACAGTCTTTATGTACCATGTTTGCTTCCACACTGGCTTTGAAGGGAAAATGCACGTACAGAAATAGTATGTTTCTCTAGTGATAGGTAACTTGCAAAGGCTTGTAAGAAAATAATGTTTTTTTTTTTTTTTTTGCTTTGTCATATAGAAGAAGAACTATGATCGAGTAATGAAAGCTCTGGACAGCATAACTTCCATCAGAGAAATGACACAGGTAAAATTGTGAAAATTGTGGTCTTGCACCCTTCTACCATTCAGTTTACACGAGTAAAGTAATGCTTCAAATGTCTTCAGAACAACGCTGTTACAGAATGTACATTTTTCTCCTCTATAGACATCATATAAACCATGAAAAATGTGTTAAGACGGTTTAATTCAGTTCTGTCAGCGTCTTGACATGCTATCGCTGATTTTTAAAGAATGAACGTATGATTGTAATCTTACTATTTTTGTTCTTAAACTTGAGTATTTGAAGTTACTCAACAGGATCTTTAAAAACAGGGTTTTTAAAAGTCCCACCTTCAGTATTAACTGATGCTAATAATTTCAGATACTATTTTGAATGTCACAGTAGACAGATTTGGAGCAATGGAGACTGGTGATGCATGTGTGCCAACACATCTGGCTACAAATATTCGTGTGTGTGTGTGTGTGTGTGTGTGTGTGTGTGTGTGTGTGTGTGTGTGTGTGTGTTTGATGTAACATCTCAAGTAGTTCTAGCTGACCTTGAACTTGCTGTGTAGCTGAGGACTCCCGGAACTTCGGATCTTCCTTTTTCTATCTCTTAAGTGATGGGATTGCTGACATATGCCACCACTATCTCTACAAATGTATTCTCTCTTTTCCTCCCTCCTTTCCTTCCTCCCTCCCTCCCTTACTCCCTCCTGTGTGTGTTCATGTGATTTCGTCAGTCCCTAGAATTATTCTTTAAGGTACAACTTTTCAGGACTTAGATAGATGCTCAGTAGTTAAGGGAATTGGCTGTTCTTCCAGATGACCTGGGTTCAATTCTCAGCACCAACTTGGTAGCTCATAACTGTCTGTAACTCAAGCTCCAGCGGATCTTATTGCCTCACACAGACATATATGCAGGCCAAACACTAAGTCACATAAAAACTAATCTTCATCATCATCGTCATCATCAATAATCATCACCTAAAGAAATTTCATCAAACATTATATTTAGCACAGAACCTATAACTACTATGGAATCCACAGCCACCCTAAGAGTGTGAGCTTATGCTTCTTGTTCTCAGGGAGGCTCTGGTGGAAAGGTGTGCTATATGAAGATCTAGGTTTATTATGAAAACCTAACACATCTTTGTGCTGTAACCTGCCACTTGGAAAAACACTTACTGTTGAAGTACTGAGGTCTTTTCACTATCAAAACACTGGAAAGAGGTTTAAAAAGCATCATTATAAATAGAAATTAATCGTCCAAAATAACAGTGCTTGTCGTGCACATCTTGCGAGTGTCCTTTCTAGGCCTGCCTTGTGCTAGACACCTTTGAGTGTAGGATGGGTATAACCTGTGGAAGGAGGGTAGGTCTTCTCCTGCCCGGGTTCACTGGGTTTCTCTCGACTCTACCCCTCACCCTAGTGTGCCATCTCTGGTCCTCTATCGAAGACATCCTCAAGTGTACATTTCACACTTCTAATTTTTGTCCTTGATTCCTTTGGCCATTATTTATTCATGATGACCAGTATTCATCCCTTGGTTTGTTCATTTTTTTTGTTCCTTCCTTCCTCCAACAATTTATGTTGGACACTGGCACAGATGGGTATCCATACTTCACAAGTGATATTATTTGCTTTTAGTCTCCCGTTTCTCTTAGTGACTGTTCTGGGCTCATAATTTGTAGTAGCCTCTGGATTATTTTTCAAGCAAAAGTTATTTGCATGGTTAAAGAAAAGAATAGAGTGCATTTTCTGTTGGAATGAGGAAGAAGAAATAATGCCACATCTTATGGGAAGGTCATGATAAAAAAAAAGTTTGGTATATGGTATTTGTACTATACTCTAGAGTTTAGACCCATATATTATTATTAGATTTAAACATGATTATAAACTCTGACTATAGAATCTGTTCACTGCCAAAACTTGCTTTCTTCATTCTGGGTCATGTGTAAGCTATTTTAACAGAAAGCAATAGAGAAGTTGGAACATCAGCCTAGGAACTTACAGGCCAGAGTTGCCTCACCGTGATGTGACCCATGACCTTGAGCAAGCTGCATCGTTACTTGGATCCTCAATGTCTCTATATGCAGTTAGGAAAAGTCACTCTGTATTTTTTCCTGCAGAGTGGCTGCATAGGCATGCTGTCAGGTTTTATGGGATCAAATTATTTAAGCTCTTCCACAATATTACAACAGCCCCAGCTAGCTCTGAACTGTTCTAAAGAAATTGTTCTTTGGTCGGTAGTAAAATGTTTAATTTGACAGTAAATTCCATTTAATTTCTCTTGGAGAAGGGTTCTACATAAATTGAGTTCAGTTTTCATAAAGAAATGCACTGTGGCTATTAGTTTTCCTTTAATGTTAAAATTAAAAATGTTCACCAACAAAGAGAAACACCGCAGGGTGCTTTGTTAAGGGGTGGGGTACTTTCTCTCTTGAGGACGAAGGTAGGCAAGGGGCTGAAGTGTAAACTGAGCTTTACCTCCCAAGATTTTCCTCCAACCCCAAGAGGAGCGAGGCTTATAAAAGGAACTGAAGGAATTATGAGGAAGAAACGATGTGGGAACAGAGGATGAGACAAGGGGAGGTGTGGAGATGGAAGGCTATAGAATGGCATGATGTGTGGTAGCTTTGTGTCTTCTCAGACACCAGACACACACACACACACACACAGACACACACACACACACACACACACAGACACACACACACTGGAGAATACGTGTAGGATGATAGGGAGTCATCTCTAGTAATTTAGTGAGGGTGGAGCCCAGGCTAAAATTTGGTCAAGCCTTTGTTTTTCACCTTCTTTTATGTTTAATTTAAACATTATTACATCATGTCCCCTTTCCCCTTTTCCTCTTCCAATTTTTTTCATGTCCCACTACTGCTCCCTACTACAACCTTACTCTCTTGCAAATCATGACTTCTTTTTCCTCAATTACTGTTTGTTTTTACACACACACACACACACACACAGAGAGACAGAGAGAGAGAGAGAGAGAGAGAGAGAGAGAGAGAGAGAGAGAGAGGAAATATATGAATGCAACCTGCTGAGTCTGGTTAGTGTTGCTTATATGTGTAGGACTGACCACTTGGTACTGGGTAACCACTTGGGGGACTCATCCCCAGAAAGATTAATTCTTCCTCTTTCAGTAGCTGCTAATTGCCTACAATTCCTCATCAAGGGATGAGGTCCCATGAGATTTCCCCCTTCTGCACTGGCATGTGAGCTGTTATCGTCTTTGTCCAGGCAGCCATATTGTTGAGAATTTTGTGGATGTAGCTTCCTTGTCACAATCTAAAGGCACAATCTCTTAGCAGGCTTCCTGGTCCTCTGTTTCTAAGAACACTTCTGAGCCCTTTCCTAGGCTGTCCCCTGAGCCTGAGATGTGGGGATTATGTAGTAGATTTCATCAGTTGGGGCCAGGTACCCCATGATTAGTTATTCTCTCTATTTTGATCCATTGTAGCTTGGCTTTCTGAAATCATCTTCATCTGCTTCAAAGAAAAGCTTCTTTGGTGAAAGCTGCACTTCACAATTTCTCCTCTAAGATCCATGGCCTCACCAGGCCATGGGTAGTTGGCTTGGTTTACAATACCAGGCATGAATTCCCTCTTTTTGAGGAGGCCTTAAGTCCAGTTAGATGGCTATTGGTTGTTAACGAGCTATTCCACTGTTACAGATATGTTATCTTGCTGGTTATTGTTGTAGTTCGCCGGCTTCGCAGGTGTGTAGGACTATTGATTTTTCTTCTCCTTTGGCGGTTTAATAGCGCCCTTTGGTACTGTGAAAGCCAGTCTTCAGAGAAGGGGGTTTTCAGGTCAGGTCCAGCTCAGGTCCTCTGGGTCCTTTGTCCAAAGTGCATGGTGCCTTCAGCAATAACCTTCCACTTCTGAGAAGTAACCAAGGACAACATTAATAGCCTCCGTTGCTTTAGGGGTCTCTTGTGCTTCCCTGTTGGTTAAGACTCTTAAACACAGCAGGCAAGTCCTTTCATGTGTCACCTGAAGTGCATTCCCTCCCTCCCTACTCCTTGTGTGAAGAAGGGAATTTGCTCTCCCCGTGCCAAATCTAAAAGGTTTTTATTTTAGATAGACTAGACATATCTCTTAATCCGATTTTCTTGTTGTGTGTGGGGAGTGAATTTTTAAGAAAAATGAAGAACTGTAATTTTATCTTGCAGGCGCCCTATCTGGAAATCAAGAAGCAGATGGATAAACAGGACCCCCTTGCCCATCCACTTCTGCAATGGTATAAAATCGGAATTTTCCTCTAGATAAAAAGCAGTAGGGTTATTCTGTGTTACATGGCGGCGGGTGGGGGTGGGTGTAGCTATTTCATAAGCCCTGAAAAGCTACAGTTCTACAAGCCTGTGAAACTTGGGGATTTTTTTTCCACCCAAGAGTCCTTAATGACTCTCACTTTAATTAAAACTTGTACATCACAAGAGGAAGAAGGTGCTGCCATGTGCTCAATAGGGGCACACAATGCACTTGGAGTGGTTAGTCTATAGCCTTAAAGGATATGCTTAATTAGCTTACTTATCGGAAGCATTTTGGTTCATTTAATTTCCTGGTTCAGCAAGGACTTGGTGATAGAATGTAAACTTTTTCAGTGAAGATCTTGAAATGTGTTTTGCATATTTCTCATCCTTAACAAAACTAGTAAAAATTGTTTGACTCTTTGCTTGACCACTGTGTAAGGATGAGCCTGGTGAGGGCCACAGCACTCAGGCCAGGCTGGGTTCTAGGAGGACGGTACAGCAGAGAGGAAAGGGTGGCCTGAGAACACACTTTGCTTTGGTCCCTGTGTTAAGAGTAGTTCTTCCTGTAGGCCTGGGCCCACAGCTGCGCCAGCCCCAAATAACAGACAGAGACCCTGTATTAGATATAATGCTGTTGGCCAGTTACTAGTTTCTTATCGGCTAGCTCTGTCTTAATTATTAACTCATTTCTATTAATCTAAGTATTTCCATGTGGTCTCATCTTACTGGAGAGAGGGGCTGGCATTCTTCTCTCTCAGTCCACCATCTTCAATCTCCTCCCTACTACTTCTGGAATCCTCCTTGTCTCCTAGTCCCGCCTATCTTGCTTTCCGATTGGCCAACGGTGCTTTATTCATTAACCAATAAGAGAAACATATTTACAGAATGAATTCTCCCATCATGCCTGCCTCAAATAATTTGTCCTCTTTCATTTGCAAAGTGGAGACAATAAGAATTTTGTGCACATGGCCCTTTGAAATAGCTTAATCAGACTTACCATGGCTATCTTAGAGAAGTACAAATTCAGAGATTACAAGAGATTGGTCTGGATAAACATGTGGGGTGACAAGCAGTAGAAGTTTTTATAAATGGCGTTAAAGGCAAAAGAGCCCAGTTTTCTTGGGTTTCTGGCTACCTTTGCTTAGTCAAAATAGTCTGATGAGACCAAGGCAGACTAGGAAAATAGTTGGCCTTGTTTGTATCTGTTAGGATCTGGTATTGAAATCCTGACAGATAAAAAAAATAACACTCTTTCTCAACATCTCACATTTTCTTGTCATAGTCAAAGTTAAAGTGAAAAAAAAAAAAATAAATGGAACTTTGCAGTGCCAGTTTGCGTCCCAGATGACAGGGGAAATCTTATTCCTAGACTCATGAACAAACAATTTAAGAAGGGAGTCAAACAAAAACTTAAAAACAAACATAAAACAGGACAGGCAATCTATGCAAGTCATGGAGGACAGAGAGAAAAAAGGCCATGCCGTCTAAGTCAGTACTGATGTCAGGTACGTGGCAAAAAGGAGCCATGTGCGGACAGGGGGTTTAGAGAAAGAGTGGAAAATGCTCAGATGTGGGCAAAGCCCGGATGTTAAGGAAATCATGCTTACAAAAGAGACATAAGAAGTCGTGCTTTTTTGACTACGAGAAGTGAAAGAATACAATGATTTTTATCTTAGCCACGAGTCCCAGCCAAGCTTCCACATTAGGGCTGGGAATTCTGGGAAGGAAAAGTACAGCATCTCATTAAACCACAGCTCATTCCTATCTCTGTGGTGTGTCTTCAGCCTGCCTTCCTAATAGTGGCCTCTGGGCCAAGTGAATGATTGTGTGCGGCTGGAGCCAGGGATTCTATTCTTGCCTAGAAGGTTGATGGCTCCCCCCCCCCTTCATCGACTAATTACACATATATAATTGTATTCTTTTTTTCCCTTTGAAGTCAGCCCAATTCCAATTTATTACTAAGTTTTTAATCTTTTTTCTCCAGTTCAGGGAACAGAATTTAATCAGACATTTTATGTTCTTCTCTTCTATTTTATACACCATAGAGTATGAAATATTCATGTTTCCTGGTACCTGGGTTTAAAATAGTCAACTTCAGCGTCTACATATTTTGACTTTTGTGTATAAGCTACTGTCACCTCAAAAGTCTCACGTGTTTCAACAAACAGAACCTCTGTGGGAACACAGTTTTCATTTAGGAGATTTAGAAATCAAAACAATCAGGTACATGAACCCACTTCTCATTTATGAACTACCGTTGTTTGAAAGTATTAATATCTGAATGTGTTCATTTTGCTAACATTTGGGGTTGTGCTCACTAAAATTACATATTCAAAAGTTTTATGGAACTACTTCCCAGCGAGTATTCCCAGATGAAAGTATTTTTCTTTTTTTTTTTTCTTTCTTTCTTTTCTTTCTTTTCTTTTCTTTTCTTTTCTTTCTTTCTTTTTTTTTTTGTTGTATAAGCTCCTTAAAGTGTATCAGTAAGTAAACCAAACGTCCGTAATCGAATGAAAAGCAGAAAGTTTTGTGGCACAGCAAAACTGCATTTTAATCACTTGTTGAATAGCATATAAAACAGTGTATTTGCCACGTAGTTGTGACTGACTGGTCATTTCCATTTCAGGGTCATCTCAAGCAATAGGTCACATATTGTGAAACTGCCAGTTAACAGGGTGAGTCCCGTTTTCGTGTATGCACCCAGAAACGGAAGGAGGTGTTAGTTGAGATAACTGGCCGATGTGGCTCTCAGGCAGCCTGTCCAAGGGCGGATTTGACCCGGCTTAATTCTTCAGCTTGGGTTTGAACACTAACCGCAGACCCTTCCAAGGCTCAAGCTCATATCCAGCCTGCATCATACCCTTTTAAATAAATAAATGAAGTCATCATGAGAGAATGGAGTCTTCCTACGAGAGTTCGTAAAGTGGTGTCTAGGGAGAGATTGGAGGGATACTTGCCGTTACAGTTCTGCCCTCCCATATTTGAAAAGGGAGCTGCAAACACTTTGCTTATCAGCCTAAGTAGTGTTTAAACAATGTTTTTTTTTTTTTTTTTTGTTTTTTTTTTTTTTTTTTTAAGCTAATGGGCCCTGATTTCAGTACTCATCACTAGCTGAGAGCAGCGTTTAAAACTTTCATTTCCCTGTTTTCACATCTCCTCGTGGGAGATTGCTGCATGCTACATCCCTGTATAAGCATCCAAGGTGAACGGGAGGTGAGGAGGGAGCCTTGTCAAGCATTTCCTCTGACATCCTTCCATTGGTAACAGGCAAAGGCGTGCAGATAAAGCAGAAGTGTGGTTTGCCCTTTCAAACGGTGAATTAAGTTTTCTGCTTAGCAAATTCCAGAATATTTTCTCAGTGGAGCGGCTAGTACGTAACCACTGATTTCTACAATAAAAGCCTCAAAAAGAAATGTAATCACGAAAACACTGAGTGTGAGTCGGACAGCATAGTCGAATCTGAACATAAATGTCTTTGGTTTCTCTGCTACCTATTGCTTTCACACTAGCCCAAAGAAGTTGTTTCCTGTGGGTAATTCTTCGTGAGGTTTAACTGAAGCAGGGTCTCCCCCCACCAAAAAAAAAAAAAAATACATTGTTCTTTACCTAGTCTAATAAACTTGTTAGTGTGAGATTCCTCTGTTTTGAATTTGGATAAATTGGATAATTCCTAAGCTGGTAAAACCCTGACATGTTTTTGTCTGTTATCGCTTTGGATGACAGCAACTGAAGTTCATGCACACGCCACACCAGTTCCTCCTCCTCAGCAGCCCACCAGCCAAAGAGTCCAACTTTAGAGCTGCGAAAAAGCTCTTCGGGAGCACGTTCGCATTTCAGTGAGTATGGCTGGGAAGGGAAGGAGGGGCCTGTCCAAGAAGTCGACATTAAACTCAACCAATCGGCTGTAGGAGTATTTGACTCTGGAGCTCGGAACGTTCAAATGTATCGTGCCTTCCTGGGTTGGGACCAGTTGTGAAAACCATTGACTTTCTGGCCTTGTCTTTTCCTTCCCTGCTTCTGTGTTTTAGTGGCTCTCACATTGAAAACTGGCACTCTATCCTGAGGAATGGCCTTGTTGTCGCCTCTAACACACGTCTGCAGGTAACATTTTTACTCCTTCCTTCCTTTCTTTTTTTAAATAGGAGTCCATTTAGTCTTAAAGGGGGAGAGGTGAACTTTAGAGCACTTATTTAAAATAGTATACAGAATTTCTAAGTGAGATAAGTACACTTCCACATAATAACAGAAGCAAAATTGCTCTGTGCTCGAAAATGAATTGTTGTCTGGGAGAAAAAGTAAAAACGACACACCTCGAAAGTAAGAACTGTACTACGACTGTGCAGGAAGTACAACCGTATAGACGTTCAGTCCATTATTCCAAAGCACACTTCACTGGTACTGGGCCTCCGTGTGGGCCCTTTCAGAGAAGAGTGGGTAAGCAAAAGGAGATGTGTGGTGCCTGCCGTCCAGGCTTGGGCGCAGTGCTTGGCATCATCTCTACGTTTGTGGTTGGAGCCCTAAGCTCTGCTACACTCCTCATTTTGCTGATTCCTCTTTAAACGCATCCCTCCAAGTCCTACCTTAGACAGCACAAAGACAGGCGGAAAGAAGGCCAGCCCCGTCACCTGAGCCAGTTACCACTGCACAGCAACAGCAGGCTGATGGAATCGGCTTTGCATGTCTGCAAGCCTAAACCCCGTGACTTGGTACCAAGTTCTCACTGCTGGCCTGTGAGGGCCCCAGGACACAGGAATGAGACAAAAGAACTTTGAATGCCCTGAGTAGTTTCTTTAGGTCACTGGAAATGTTTTAAAAGTACCTTCCCATGCTCTTCAGCAAGTCTTGTTTTTAGAATTTTAGATCGTTAAAGAACTGACTGTTGTCCTTTGTCTTGAGGGACTCTCTTTATTACTGGTGGAGTGGGGAAAAAGTTGACTCTTTTTCCTCTCATGTATTTATTTTTTTATCAACTCACTCCAAACATGAGAGTTGTAATGTTTTCATTAGACCCAACATAATAGAAGACTTAGTTCCCACATGAAAACAATTACCCTCTTCTGTATGATACTAATTCAGACCATTGAGTGACCTCTCTCTCTCTCTCTCTCTCTCTCTCATCTGAAATAGCTCCACGGTGCGATGTATGGGAGCGGGATCTATCTTAGTCCAATGTCAAGCATATCGTTTGGTTACTCAGGTAATACTGTGTTTCACTTCTCATTTCAAAGTTTTCAATGTTGCCACTTTCCAGAATAGAATAGATAAACTTGCATTAAATTCACTGAACACTGGTCATAATGTCTGAAGGAAATTTCTTGCAAGTATTTTAATGAGATGGGGATATTGGAGGGAAACTGAAATCATATGCTGTAGGGAGCCCATGAAATATAAATCATGGAAAGAATAATCTCCCTTATTGGCATTGAACAAATCCTGGGGTAGTAGAATTTATGGTTAGTACTTCTTTGCATTTTAAAAAATTTTTAACTGTAAAATATTAAATACTTTGTGAACAGATTAAAAAGGAAATGACAGTTTCTTGTCCTAAAATCTCAGTATTTGGTGCATTTTACTTTCACTTTTAGCTGCTTCTAAGGCAGTGTGTGTGTGTGTGTGTGTGTGTGTGTGTGTGTGTGTTGATCACACTGCATAGTTCCAGAGTTGTATACATGGTCCCTGAATGCTAAAACTTAGTACTTCTACTGCAAGAAATGACACTTAGGCAAGTCTATTAAGTAGGAGTCCATTAACCTGGCCCATCTGTCTATTCATTACCAGGGTTTATGAAAATTCAACCACAGAAAGTCACTTTTTAGTGGTGAAGTAAAATTGGAATACTTAAAAATTGATTTTACTTAGAAATGTCAGTGATAGAACCCCTCAAATGCTGATGGAAAGAAAATGTACAATTTTAGAGGATTATAAATTAGCAGAAAAGGGAAATAGAAATGTATTAAGTAGGCAAAGTAGATACAGATGTTACCACATGACTACTATTGTGTCATAAAAGGTATAAGAGGAATCAACCCCTTTCTTACGTCCATAGAGGCTTTGGATCAGGGCTCTAGTGAATCAGTTTGCTGTGTGATTTTTGTCTCAAAGCATTCACTTTGTAGCACATAGGTGGTGGATGGGGATGAGTTGCAGCTGACACCCAAGCTCCTACATGGGACTGATCCATTTTGGTGAACCCAGCAGTACCTAGCCCAAACTTTTCCAGAGTGCTAATAACGTCAGGCAGCTCACATATTAGTGTGCAAATTTCTGATCTTGTTTCTCAAGTTACATGAGATTGACACCTGTCTGTACACATAGTCAAAGCTGTTTATTACAAGGTCTTCCATTATCTCTGTTGATGAAGGAATGACAGACTTCATTGTAACGGAGCATATTAAGAAGTACTGTTATAATAAGATGTCACCATAGCATTAAGGATAAATGTTAGAGGGGAAAACAGCATTGAGATAGGTCATGTAAAATTACTAAAATCAGACTTAAAACAGTACAGAACAAAGCTAAATATTTTTTAGGAAAGTGATACATAATCAGCGTAGATAATAAAAATGACAACAAAAACCAAATACTGTGATTTCTACCTCCTATGCTAGTGTGCAGATTCCTTAGAGGGGTTCATGGAAAGTTGGGTGGAGGGTTAGGTACAGACTGTGGCTGGATGTGAAATTATGTCTCTCTGTGTGTGCGCATTTATCTTGGAGAGAGTCCATAGCTTTTATCGGGTTCTGAAGGACTCTTGATATATTTTTAAAAGTAGGAATTCAGGATTTGGGCTATAGCTTGGTGACAGAGGCCATGGGTTCTGTTCATAGCCTGGGTTGGTGTAGGGTCATCTCCAGATGAAGTTGTGGTTGGTTTTGAGGTCCAAGAACATAGAGTCTAGACAATGGAACCGCCCTGTATGCAGTGATTTGCTGTTACCTCTGTACTGTATGTCAGGTCTGCTACCTGCGTGTGCAACTTTTGGGGAATGCCTGGCTTGGAAAGGGTTAGACACATGTACTTTGCAAATTGTTGTACATCTTTGGGCCTGCTACCAAGATATTTATTGAAACTAAAGAAGCTCTTCGTTCCTGGAATGATAGCACATTGAACATTCTCGTTGACTTAGTTCTGTATATTCTACAATGAAATATATATGGGTTCGGCTTTTCTAAAATCTTTTACAATAGGACATCACATCATGACTTTAATAGAGCAGGAGCTAAGATTTATGATTTAGCATAGACAGAAGAACACAGAGTTCCCTGAGTTAGAACCATTATACTTCTATACAGAAGTGAGTATATATTAGTACTTTACAACACCGTGGTGAAGTATTTCATTATTACTGTCTTCATTCCCCCCACTCTTCATCATGTCCTTGTATTCAGCAGGCAATAAGGATGAAAGTTAATTCTAATTAACTAAATATTTTTAAATCAACTTTTGAGAATTTTCTAACTATAGTGTATTCCAAAGAAATTTCCATCCCCATTTTTCAATGCCAAGAAGAAACGAAATTCCTATTCCCAGCTCTCCTGTGATGTCTTAGACCTGCAGACCGTCCATCCACATCAGGGTCTGGGGACCATCCACGCCAGGGTCTGGGGCAAGCAGCTGTCCCCTTGTGAGCCTGTTATAACCACCTCCGGCTTGATGTGATCGGAAGCACAACTTCTGACGTGCATGGGTTGTCAGTTCATTTGCTCCAATCAGCTCTGCCTCTGAGATTCTGTGGTACTGCTGTTTTTCAGGGATGAACAAGAAGCAGAAGGTGTCTGCCAAGGACGAGCCAGCCTCAAGTAGTAAGAGCAGCAATGTGTCGCAGGTGCTGTTGCCCCTCCCAAGACTGTCAGTGAACTGCAGCTTCGTCAGACTGCAGGGTGTCGATAGATGCTCAGGATTATTTAAGCCAAAAGATTTACTCTAAGTGGTTATTTCTCATAAAGAATCAAACTCACTCATTGCTCGTAGATAATAATGTTCACACATCAGTGTCTTATTCAGTCAGTCATCATCAGATAAGCTTCCTCCTACAGCAGATTGGAACAGATGCAGAGTGCAGAGACCCACAGCCAGATGTTTTACACACACACACACACACACACACACACACACACACACACACACACTTGTCTCACATTGTACTACCAGAGTCTACCCTAGATTCCAGGGAATAATAACAGATTACTATTCCTGTCGTCTTTAACGTTATGTTCTGCTGAGCTGGGTATATAAACAAACTGCCAACATGCTTAGGTTGAACGATTACTAAGTGATGAGAAAAATAACTCAGAAAGAGAGAGTTCAGAAAGTGTCAGAGTGTGGGTGGGCATTAATACTGGAGTGAATGCTAAGTGGTGTGGTCAGAAGAAAACACTCTGAGGGAACCTTAGAGATGGAGAGGATATGAGCCATGTGACTCTGACAGAAAGAACATTCTTGACCGAGAACAGCGAGGCTCCTATAAAGAAAATAAGAACACCCTGGGCACACTAAAACCCATCTGACTGAACTTAGCTTATCAAATATCTGAACAGCAAACTGTTTTCCACAGGAGGTGTTTTTGAAACCTCTATGCCTTAGTAAATGTTGCTGTAGATGTGCGTTGGTTTTGATGGTTGCATAAGCTGGAGTGCTTGGTTTTAATGGTTGGAGAGACCCTGCACATTTCATTCTGTTTGCTTTGATACAAACTTGTCAGCCTTGTCAGTAAACCAAACTTTGAATGCTAGTTGTATGCCCTGAGACTGCTGAGCTCTATTTTAACATCATTTCAGTTCACCGACTTAGTACAAGTAATTTGATAATGGTTATTTGCATAAACTAGAGGATGCAACAAAAATAGCTGATGTTAAAAGGATGCATGGGTACTAGCAGATAGTCCCTGCAACCAATCGTAGTTGCTACTGCATTTTTAACGATGAGCACTTGTTGATGATGCTTACTAGACTATCCCATTTTTACTGAAATTTTTGAATTGTTTTGTGATCTAGTCTCAGAAGAAAGGACAGCAATCCCAGTTCCTGCAGAGCCGTAACTTGAAATGCATAGCCTTATGTGAAGGTGAGTGCCCAAGCCTTACACCCTGGCTCTCTTTTCTGAACTGAAGTCTTTACAGAGTGCTCGTGGTGGAGCAGTGAAGTATTGTTCCTTAAGACCTTCTCAGAGGACACTGTGGGAAATGAGCACAACTGAGGTTGCAGAGGTTAAAACCAAGGTCAGAAAAAACTGACGTGGGTCCAGACGGCGTCACATTATTCCTGGCAGATCTCCCGAGTGCAATTCAGCTTTCAGAGAGTGCAAGTCTTGCTGGTGACCAGGCGGCTTCCTCTTAAGCTGGGGCTGGGCTGTGTGCGATAATGAAAACCTTGAATGAGCCATGGTCTGCAAAGATAACACAACAGCCCTTTCCCTTCCTCTGGCGAAGGCGTTTCCTTCTGAACTCAATGCAGACAGACTGAGAAGTTGTTTGCAAGATCATAGTCTTTTCTTTGTTCTTGTTCCAAAGTCTACAAGTCGCATTTTCTTTGTGTCAGGGCTGTCAGCAGCCACTAGTGTTCTGTCTGCCTCAGGTTTTCAACACCCGAATGCTACGTGTGACAATAAGTCGCTGTCTGTGTGACGTCAGGTCCCGTGTGTTTCCATGATAATAGTCAAATGATTTAGTTGTGAAGTGGCCTTTTCTTGGCTGTATTTACATTTACTGACAACCGATATGGTCAGGCATTCATTACATGTTCATTTGGAAGGGTATTTTTGCTTTTAGGTTTCAGAGAGGAGGAAGCTAGTTACTTAAAAATGGATTTCGATTCCTTTAGAACTAAGCAGCTCTTTAATTTTATCTCCACTTACAGTGATCACGTCACCTGACCTGCACAAACATGGAGAAATATGGGTTGTCCCAAATACGGATCATGTCTGTACACGATTCTTTTTTGTGTAAGTCTAAATGATCAAATGTGGTGCATTACTTATTTTTCTACAAACAGTGACTGAAGTATTATTTGCTTACTTTAGCTGCCGAGTATAACAAGTAATCGAACTTCTCACGACTTTAACGGTTGTTGTATTTCAATAAGCTTATTCAGGAAAGTGATAGTTACATGCTGTTAATTTGGAAGAACTAAAGGAAAACACTGTTTCTAGCCATTCACCTACTTTAATGATGAAAGATTTTAGAACGGAGGACAGAGAAGGCAATGAAGAAAACATTCTAGGGAAAAAAAATGGTGTACATTCCATATAATATGGGCAGGCAAGGTACTGCTTGTCGGTCTGTGTATGTGTTGACACACAAATCGAAAAGCATTTTTTTTTTTTCCATTCCAAATCAACAGATGAAGTAAGCCGGCCTGACTTTTCATTCCATCTTTACTTCCCCTGTCTGACCACACACCTTCCCTACCTTGGCACAGAAAGAACTGAGTTATTGGTCTTTTAGTTTATGGAGTTTCTAAAACCATGGGGGGAAAAGTGAGGTGGGCTATTTTATAAGTGTGTCAAAGTGATGGCATCAAAATGGCTGCAATTTTGGGCAGGACCCTGTGCTTTGTGTTGGATCCATGAGCATGTGGCCAGGTTGTTCTCTGTGACAGATTCTATGGAGACTGTAATTTTCTCATGGCATTTAATTACTGGCTTTAGATTTCACAGCAGTGGGCTTAGCAGCCAGAACTCCCTTTGCTGTCAGGCAGTCTGAATTCCGACTCAACAGAAATTAGGAAGAACAACCACCGAGTTGCATAACCTCTCAATGCTTCATCAGCAAAATGAGAACAACGTGCCTACCTGCGTGGTCAGAGTGTCAAGGGCAAGCAGATGGCTCACAAAGAACATGGCGCCTTTATTACTCACAATTAGATGATCTGCAAAGGTGTAGCTGTGGGGCAGCTGGATCTAATAGCAGTAGGATTGTTAAATGTCCTCAGGTCCAGGTGCCTGAGACAGGAAGCAGTCCTGCCAAAAACCCACCTGACCACACCCCACTCACAGTGGAGGCCTGTGGAGCACAAGGCTGAACTCCATGCGGGTCACAACCCCCGAGGGCCAAATGACATCAGAGAAGGGTTCTGAGGGCCCCTCGGGCTACTAGGAAGCTGTCAGTATGCATCACCTTATGCAATTATTCTGAGATTACATTAAAGCCCATGCAGGTCTCCACTGCAAAGCTCATAAAACGATCTTCCCCATTTTTTTCTTGGCCGGTTGATGATTATCCATTGTTAGAATTTCAGACCTCTGCAAAGCAGCTTTCAATTACAAAATTACCTCATCAAGTAGGCTTGAGATGTTGATAAAAAGATAACCCTGGGCCTTCTTGTTGTAATATCGCTTTTTTTTTTTTAGCTTCCAAAAATACAGATTTATTGAACATAGCATCCTTATGTACCTACGTTCAATTTCCAATATGTTTCTTTTATATTTTTATAAGCAATATATAAGACACATGTAAGGGACTAATTGGGGTGGAAGAGAACGTGTATTCTCCATGGAAGCGAATAGGAAGGAGAAAGCGATCTGATGGAAACCAGTGTGCCCAGATGCTTTCAAGATAATACAAAGGGGGAGTTTTTAATTAACATAATTTTCCTTGCTTTGTAAACACAAACGAGATGCCGTGCCTTTTCTCTGCACTGCCAGTAGACTAATTAGGTAAGACTGATAAATTCAGAACACACCAAAGAGAGAATGCATTCAATGGCTATTGTACGTTCTAATTACAGCTTTTAGTCTCTTCCTTCACAAAGGACACAGCCGCAAGGTCCTTGTGGGTGTAGCATCTAGGGACAAAGTAGGTTGGTGAGGATGAGAGCAAGTGTTAGGTAAAAGCTTGGTCTCTGTTATTTTTATCTTTAGAGGTTTTGTTGGCTTACATTGTGTGATCACTGGTGTTAGGGGCTTTGCCTGACTGTGGGTGTGTAAGTTAGTATGTGTTTCTTATGAGGCGTAGATGAAAATTCTGAAAAGTAAGGCCATTTTCATACTACTCTGATTTCTCAGAGCCATGGTGATCGTGATATAGACACGTAGTATCTTATTTAAAAAAACTCTTATCGAGCAACTCATCTCTCCAGCATCTCAGCAACATGGAAGAGAAAACTAAAGGGACACTGTAGGGAACAGACTGGTGTGTACAAAGGGACACTCTGGGGGACAGACTGGTGTATAACAGAAGGACACTCTAGGGAATGCATTGGCTTGTAACAAAGGGACACTCCAGGGACCATGCTGGTGTGTAACAAGGCATTAAAATAAAATTGAAAGGACTGGACTGCTCTTGGGAGGAGAGGTAGAGTTGAACGTTGACTGTTGTAAATTTTTCATAATTAGGATAAAATTATGAAACCAAGGGTGGTTAATTGGTCTGACAGATGGCCAGGCGTGGGCTCGCCCAGTTCCCACCACTGTACAGGAAATGGCCATGGAGCCTGAGAGGATGCCCTGTTCCTAAGCTGTGTGGGGAGCACGGAAAGATTTGGAGCAGGATGATAAACCCCACTGGTCTAGCAATGAGAGCCTATGTGTTCCATGTCCTCATGCCTCCCGAGGTGGCACTAGCTGTGAATGATCCATGTGCTTTGATTAGGAAGTAAATGTAGAGTATGTACTGACCACTAGTTCTGAAAACATTTCACCAAGTTCATAGCATAACAGTGGGGAGAATCACATAAAACATTTTCTCTGCGGAGGATGGGGCCAGACATGCCAGGTCCTTGAACCAAGCAGATCTTAGTCCTACGTAAATTTCAGGGTTTCCTCTTTAATCCATTTTGCCTTTTAAGGTGTAGTTCAACTATCCCCTTTTCCATAAAATTTTCTAGAAGATTAGCTCAGAAGACCATGGTGTCTCGGTGCTCCTGTGGCTCATGGCAGAACTTGCCCTTAAAATTTAGCTCATTCGTCCATCTTCAGATTGAGTAAAAATCCTTGAAGCACTTTCTCTGCCTCATATCCCCACAGCACTTTGTCTGGTGGACACCTACTAGTCAGTAACTTTATTTATTTATTTATTTGTTTATTTATTTATTTATTTTTGTCTTCAGTGATACAAGGTCTCGCTGTGTAATCCATGGAGTTCTTAAACTCAGCCATGATCCTCCTGCCTCAGCTTCCCAAGTGCAGGGACTATATTTTGTTTTGATATAGTTAAAAAAAAAAAGTTTCAAATGTTTTCAGCACATACAAGAAGAGTGTATAAAATAAGACATTTATAACGACTGTTAGGTAAAGCAAACACCATCCTTTAATCGTGCATTCGTAAAAGGCACACACTGCTCAGCTGTAGACATCTGCAGGAAGCAGTACACTCAACAACATTAGGAGACAGAGCATGGCCATTGCCAGGGAAGGCATGTCTGTGTGAATCATACCTACAGATAGGGTCTTTAACGGCTCGTAAAGCCGGTCTGCCTTTCCAAGCTCTAAGCGGCTGCCCTGGCAGTCTCTCACAGGGCACACAGCAGCTGCTTCTCCACGGGAGTCACGGTAGCTCACCCTCTGCTCTTCACCCTCTCGCCTCTGCGAGCGACGCCACACACTGGAAGGATGGGCGAGGCCGGTGAGCCTCCTCTGAGCCCCACGTTTGCCTCTGCATCCGTGCCTCGGGTTGCCGAGCTTCACACCCAGAACCGTGCACTGTGATTTTTTTCACTACCCAGGTGAAGCATAGATTTCCGTCCTCGCACCTGTGTGTCCAATTCTCACTCCTTGTCCAAGTCTTTCTTCGTACTTCCCTCCTTCCAGAAGCGTCCCGGTGCTTCTGCACTGTGTGAGCTGAGTAACAGTAAGCAGGGCACATTTCCGTTGTGTTGTCTGTTTCTGTGCATGGCCTTTTCTCTTGCTCTGCGTCTCTGCAGTCCCTTGCTATGTATCTCCAGCAGGAGAGCCAAGGCCTGTGTTTCAACTGCTCCGTGACTGTTTACCCTTAAACATCCTATCGACACCTTAAAAAAGTCGACATAGACCAACTGGAGCCCGTTATTTAAAATCCCCTTGGTAACACTTCAGTGTATCTAATCTGTGCGGTAGTTTCATATAGCAAACGTAAAAAGCTGAGCTGTGGTTTTCCCTTCTTCATTGCAGTCACCTGCTCCTGAGTTTTATCCTTTTACTACGTCCTCCCATGGATACTTTTATTCCTATAGACCTGGTCACTGTCACCCACAGAATTCATCAGAAAGTTACTTGTTCCCCTGGCTTCTAATTTCATTGCTCTCGGAACCAAGTCTGTACAATGGCAGATGTATTAACAATTGCAATTTTAACCCTGATGACTCGGGTGTGACGCGCAGAATTTTAAGAAAAAGGGAGAAACATCATTCTGCTTTTGAAGCCTCAAGGCATTTGCATTCTCAGCAAATCTCAAACCCGTTTCTGTACTCCTAGCCCATGTCCTTCCAAACAAACCTCAGTGTTTCCCACATTCTCCGGCTTCCTTGTCAGAAGCCACATCTGAATTCACCCTTGAGTTTACATGGTGTCTCTGTACTGTGTCACCACTGTAGGATATATAAGTTTCTGCTTCCTTCCCTCGTGAGGTTCTCTCCATGCACAGACACTCCCGTCATAGAAGTCACAGAAGCAGTTAGTGCATAGTGTCTGAGATCATCTAAAAACACTGAGTCATCCAACCCGGCGGTAGTGGCGCACACCTTTGATCACAGCACTCAGGAGGCAGAGGCAGGCAGATCTCTGTGAGTTTGAGGCCGGCATGTTCTACAAAGAGAGATCCAAGAGAGACTCCAAAGCTACACAGAGATGCCCTGTTTCAAAAAAAATGAAAAGAAAAATGCTGAGTGATCTATTTTAACGAAGAGATTATATATGACTATCATGTTTCAGTGATGTCTATGGAAAACAGTATCAGAAAAAGATGTGAGGATTGGAGTTGTGGGAATTAGCATGTGGATGGTAGTTAAAACTTGGGAGAGGCTGAAATGGTCGAGGGAGTTTGCTACATCCAGATGGATGTATCAATTGGAGCTGGAATTCACTGTGTGCGGGAAATCATTGGGCTGAGACACTGAGGAAGAAGAGATTAAAAAATAACAATCAGAAGCTAGGTAGCTAAGGAATGAAACAATGTAGCTGAGAGACAGATGGAGAGATAAAGGAGCGAGCCAGCAATACAGTGGTGAGATGTACCTTGCATACTTTTGCGTCTTGAGTGCATCAACCAGGGGGCTAGGGAGAGCTCTTGTGACTTAAGCAGAACATTAAGGCCAGGCGGGAGAATGCAGATAATTGAGCCAAAAAAAAAAAAAAAAAAAAAAAATGGGTCATTACAGTGAGTTACAGACAAATCCTATTCCCGGGTCAATGTCACATTGCATAGAGCAAAAATAATGGTGTGCAAGCTGCGTGTCACTTGGGCTAAGCATGTCTTATTCAATGAAGGTTAAGATTGCATGGGTGTGGGGTGTGTACCAAAACTGCGACAAAGAAGGAGCCAGCCTGGGGGACAGTGTAAAATCACACGCAGGCAGTAATCTGAAGTTGCACAGTCATAAGCACAGGAAAAGTTGAGACCTGTCACACCGCCTTCTCTCTCCTGGCAATACGGTTTTGATCAACTCTCTCTGCCTCAGCCTCTCCTGCTTTTCAGATGCAAATCCTGAAGAGGTAGTCTGTCTTGGTAAAACACAGTTATCTGCCTGCATGCCAGGCCACCTGCCTCCTTTTAAGAAATACGGACATGTCACCTGTGTTTATACAAAAACCAGGTCAATGTGCTTTTTTGGTGTTTCTATTAGCATAACGAATTTCATTATGACACTTCATATGTGTGCATAATGCATTTCAGCATATTCCACCCCTTACACTCTCCTTATCCCCTTGCCTTTCTTAATTATAAGACGGTATGTTTGCTTAAAGTGCACCTTTATAAAAATGAGCCCCCAAGCATCTGGTTTAGTGTGAACAACTGTAACTAACATATTTTCTAATTCATTGTAAAGAAATATTTATATGTACATATATGTATACATGCATGCAGGTGTCCTCACAGGCCAGAGGACACCAAATTTCCTGGAAGGGAAGTTACGTACAGGTGGTTGTGAGCCACTTGATGTGGACACTGGGAGCCTGAGAAAAAAATTAGTGTTTGGACTATAAGCCACACATTTTAATGAGTTCCCATCTTACAGTGATGTTGCTAAGCAGAGAAAAAAGGGCAAGCTGTATCTAAGGCAGTAAAACAGTATGGTAAGAATTGACCAAGTTTACCAGTATGCTGGAGCAACTCCCAGTCTTGAAACTTGGACTGGCATCAGGTGGAATAATCCCTGGGTGTTTGAGCAGCGGGTCGTGTAATGAGTTAAGTTCCCGTTTCTGTGTGTCAGTGTCTTATTTTCCCACCTTGCGCTGTCTCAGGAGAATCTAAATGTGGTGAGGAGAAGGCAGAGGCACACATTAATCTCCGAGACACCATGCTTATGCCCCTGGTTATCTATTTTGAAGTAATTACTACTTCTCTGCGGCTTCTTTCTTGAAGCCATTTTTTTTAATGCCATAAAATTAATTCATCACCTATTTCAGTCTGAATATTACCATTTCAAGTTTGAGAATTTGCTCTTTGGAAATTCTTATTGCCCGAGTCAGCTTATTTGAGAAGATGAATTACCTAAAGATGTAGTTATTTCTTCTCGAAGCACTTAGCAGTTGCTGTCCTTCAGGATCATGCCTTCACTTTCACCGCTAGGCCAAACTTAGCGGGCTTGCAATCTTTACGTGAAGTGCCAGCATAGATTACAAAAATACGCCATGGACTAAAGAGAGCAAGTTACTGGTCGAGAAGGAAAACCGGAGCGTTGGTTAGGGACAGCATAGCTGAAACAGCACAGGACCCAAGGAATATGAAGGTGAAGATGGTGCATCGGTTTTTTGTTTGTTTGTTTGTTTGTTCTGGGTTTGTTTGTTTTTGTGGTGGATTGTTTTGCAGTTGATGTCACAGCGACTGTTGGGAGAGATGCTTGCCTTGCAAAAGACACTGGGGTGTTCTTCCTACAAATCTGGCAATGTTTTATGTGAGACGAAACACTTAGCATTGACGTGGAAGGAAAGGGAAAATTTAAGGTACTGCAGAAAAGAACCGACTGTGCCAAGTTTTGTTTCGAATACACGTTAGATATTACTGGAAGAAAAAAAAATCACCCTGTGTTTTTGGTTTCCTTAGGTTACTCTTAAAAATCAAACAGCATTTTGAAGCCACATGAACGCTGTGACCTTTTGTCCATGTTTCCTGTTTCTGCTTTCTGTTGTAGCTATGAAGATGGCCAGGTGGGAGATGCTAATATCAACACACAGGAAGGAGGCATTCACAAAGAGATACTCCGAGTAATTGGTAATCAGACCGCTACTGGCTAGAGAACCACCACTTACCAGGATCTGAAAGCTTCCTCGGGTTCAAAGCTGGATTTTGAACTGAAGAAGATGATTTAAAAAATAATAATAATAATTTATTGTTATTATAAACAAAATTAACCCTTTGAATACTGATTTTTCTTTTCTTAGTATTTCTAAACATTTCATTAAATACCTAAAATGGTTTAAGATTTAACAATTGTAGGGATATGGAATCTAGTAATAAACATTAAACAGCCCTCAAACTCAAGTTTGGGTTGCGTACACAATAAACAGATTGAAAAAACAGTTTTGTGCTGATATTTTTATATTAAACTCTTTAATTGGACATTTGGTATTATGCACTGCTATCTTAGGGTACCGGAAACAGAACTGAGGTCATTTCATAATGGCTTCCAAATCTACCAGACAGTTTGCAATAAGTACAATGTCCGCGCACTGTGGTGTGCTCAGTGCGAGTCACAGAAACATTTGAATGCTATGGAAGGAATATCCCTGTTTTCATGTTTTTCCTTATAAAACATACATCTGTCTTCAGAGGCAACGCCATGCCAAAAGGCGTGCAGCACACTTGTCTGCAGATCTCATGTGTCAGAACGTGTGAGTGTGCACATGCATGCATGTACTTTGACAACAGACGGGAAGCTTCATCGTGCTGTCATGTAATGAACAAAGATAACAGTTAATAAGCAGTAAATCTGGACATAAATCATGATATGAACCAAATTTACTATAGCTTATTCACACACACACACACACACACACACACACACACAGACCTCTCTTTTCCAGTTACTTTCAAGAAATTTCCCATTGGTTAATATAACTAATTTAAAATGTTATCTGAAAAGTTAACTTGGGAAAGGCAATGTCCCTGGTGGTTTAAATCTCTATTAAACTACTCGCATAAGTCTTTTTAAAAAAAGGGCCACACAATTAACAAACAGAAAGTGCACACTTTTTATTTGTATCATATCTGTATTTTTATATTTTTCATCTGCTACCTCTGCTTATTTTTTTTTCATATTGAGAAAGAAGGTAAACTTTGAAGCTCCTTTTACATTAAAAGAACACATGCTTAAAGAGAAAACTAACTCACCCCATCTTTCAGTAATTCTTTGTCAAGAGTCATGCGCTAAACAAACTTTAGGTTTGTTTGTTTTTTGTTGTTGTTTGTTTGTTTTGAATCTTAGAGCCATATGCATTTCAAGTTTTAACTGACCGTGTTTATTTTGCTACAAGATGGATGTCTTTGGAATCAGGCCATTCATGAAAGCCATTTAATTAGTGACTCTGCCACTCTGTTTAACCCGAATCAAGGCTCATATATGATTTTAATTTATGCAGACAGAAAAAAAGTACAAATGCATCATCATTTGCAAGTAGGTATGATAACTTGCAGGTTTATTTCCTTTTCCGTAAAAGGTGAGAAACCGGCCATGCATGTTTTTACTGGACATTTGCTTTTCTTATGTTGTAAATAATTGAAATGCTGCTACTTCTACGAAAATACAGAATAGAAGAGGTTACCATTCTAATAGGTTGAATAGTGTCTGCTTAAAGAAGCACCGATCTGTTCTGACCTGGGCTTCTGAACTATGGCATAGCATTAACCCCCCCCCCTCCTGGTAGAGCCTATATCGAGTGATCAGTGACCTGGTATTTGAAGACTTGCATGGGATGAGAATAACATTGCTTCTTTTGACCGGACTTCCTAAGTCACTGTAACAATATTTTGAGATATTTTTTAGGCAACAACAACATAAAGATGTAATGCCTGGATTTAAAAGGAGGGAGGATGTCTTAGGATCCCCTCCTATTAGGTCATCAGTGTGGTATGTGCATAAAGCCTGCAGAATGTCTCCTAGCCTGCTGGGAAAGCCAGTGATCTGTAAGGAATGCGGTACTAGAATCTGAAGGGTAATCTGTGCTTGTACTCAAGGGAGATAATTTAGAGAATGCAATGCAAAACTGGCACCAAAATCTTGTACTGCCAATTTAAGAGTACAGGAAAATTTTGCCCATCCAAGTAGAAAGGTAATTGGTAGTTTAATACCCACAAAAAAAATACAACGTAGTGATAGGCATTTTTATGACAATTAAATGTCTTGTAATGATCATTAAGTTGTATTACTTTCCCAGAATTAGTTTCCCAAAATTGCATCACAACTTTTATAAGCACATATTCTAAAAAGAGTAAAACTTTTATTAAACTTTTGAAATTGGGACTGCTATCATACACTAATGAAAATGCTTATATTTCTAAAATAATGTAATTTCTACCAATTAGTAAGTAAACAGCATACTTCCAAAACTCAAGCAGGTCTCTTAAGAGGTTCAAAGACTCCTGTCACCCTATGACTCAGTAACCTGCTCTGGTATAATCATTTGGTGATTCTAGACATTTGAGATAGTATTGCATTTTAATAATCATTGGAAATCTACCCATTGCCTTTTATAACAGTAATATCAGTTCTTTTGTCATTGTTATTCGGTATTTCTTCACTAAGCAAACTTCATTCTTGAAGTAGGGCATAAAGACACTGTTGGGTCCATTCTTTCTTGCACTGCTGATTTTATGAACATTTCATTAGGAAGAACTTTTCCTCTTTCACTACCAAAGGGAGATGAAATAACTAGAAATTTAAGAAAAGTGTGATTGTGCATATATAATCCTGTACGGCAGAGTGCGCCATGGTGAAGTACTTGGTATGCCCAGGAGTGAGTTATACTGGTAGTTAATCCCAGGCAGATGTTGGGTTTGAAGCTTTTAAAATTTTAAACTTGAATTTTAAGATTGTCATACCCTTGATGTTGCTATGAAACATTGTAGGACATGAATCCAAATTGCTATGAATGTTCCTGCTTGGAAACGTTTAAGAATTTGCAGTAGAAATCCTCCAGTTTTCCTCTCCTGTCCTGAAAGAAATCACGCATTTAATATGGACTATATAATTTTTAAATTAATATCACTTGAAGAATTTTCACAGTACTTTATATGCTAGTGCTTAGCTTCAGGGCATGCGACTTCACCAAGCATTCAGGACAAACTCCTCCACAACTTTCATCACATAGTGATTTAATATAAAGGGCCGCTCAACCTTGGATCATGTCTCACCCACATAAATGAAGATTTCACAGTAGCATTTGAAGCACATTAAAGAAACATAATAGTCTATTCTCCTGCCGGATTCTTCATACTAACACTACCTCAGCACTATGGAGAGACTGCTTGTCAAGGCAAATTGGTTTCCAGAATAAAGGAGCAGATACACTTTCACAAAACAGAAGTCATCAACTCAACAGTTAAGACCGTGGTAGTTGCAGACATTGTCAACTGCTTTCCAACTCTGCAACATAGGCAGTTTTGTCACAGTGATTAATGACACTGAAACGACATTTTTTTGTTTGTTTGTTTGTTTTGGAAGGGATTAAGTGGCATACTGAGAAGTTAATTAGTTCACTGTAGGGTTAGTTTTTCTCATGGACCAGTTTTGTGTCCATTCACTAAAGAGTCACAAGCAGTTAACCACACTAAAGAGTTAAAGAGTATAAAGAACAAAAGAAGAGCAAAATAAACCCAGCTGCTGTGCCAGAGTTACAGCCTGAATATTCAAATATCATGGCAAAATAATGCCTACTCAATTATTGTCAGCTCACCTATGAATTTGATGTATATTATTATCCAGTAAATTTTTTTTCCTTGGGAATTTTGTACACACTATGAAACATAGACTAAGTTTTTGTAGGTCAAAGGTATTTCAAGTAGTTTTTAGAGAAAACATATCCATGACTGTGAAAACGCTGCATTGAAAAGTAGATTACATTATACATTTACCAGCAAGTCAGTAAAAGTTAGCGCTTACTTACATAGTCAACATAATTTAATGTTCTAAAAACAGTCTCTTCGGTCTGCCCAACATTTAACGTATCATTTGAGATTTTAAAAACCGCAGCCACTCCTTTATGTAAACGTTATAAGGTATGCCTGTGTTTCTTTGACTATACAACCTTTACAATAAATTTCTTGACTTTTGTGCACAGAATAGTATTGCAACCTGCTATTTAGCCTTTGGTGCCTTAGAGTTATTGTAACTATTTAACAATATGTACATAATGTAAATACTGCCAAGAGATCACTTAAGGCCAAATATTTTCTCTATTCACTTTTTATTGCACTTGCTTTCTATCGCTACTTCAGCCTCTTTTATCCTGCTTTGTAATAGTTCTAACATTGTAGCCAATGTAAATGTTTACTTTCAATAAATCTGAATTTGTTCAACAAATATGTGGGCACTGTTTTAAATACTGGGTGGGGGAGACCCTAATTACTCCTGTTGGTAAATCTTGTTTCTGAGGACTACATATTGGATGATCTTCACAAACTCTAAAAATGATATTGCCCTCTTGGGTTAAAATTTCCTTTTTGAAAAGGGTAGGAAAGAGAAGGATAAATCCCTGAACCTTATCCCCACTATAGTTGAAATAGGTGTGACTGGATGTGTGAATTCCTTTGCAGCTGTGGTTTCTGAAATGAGGATTTTAGACATTTTATACACTTTTGCTCATGGTGTCCGAGTTTAACATCATCAGAAGCATTTTAGTTGAATGATTTTTTTTTTGGTATGATGAATAATCATTGCAAAATTATTTGAGGGAGGGTGTGAAGGGAGCGAGACAAGAATTTCACTCCTTCATCCAGTTGGCCGAAGACTTAAGTATGTAAGTCTGTCCGGGAGTTTACAAGTCTTTCTGTCCCAGCCTCTTAAATGTTGGGATTACTGACTGTGAGACGCCATGTTTAGTTACAAGAAGACTTTTAGCATATGTACTGCAGAAGAGAGCACACGAGATTTTTAGAACATCACGTTTTATAAGCCAGCTCACTAACTGAATAAGAGACTAGTCTATAAATATGGCCCTCTAAATAGTAACAGTGTAATGAATACCTGTTTATATTTGCCTAATAAAATAGTTTTTTGTTTTGTTTTGTTTTTTGTTTTTACTTGTGATACATTTACAATCAAGAACAGAAAACATTTGTTTGGTGGAGTTGGTTTCATTGTCTCTAGAAATAGTTGACAAGGATGCCATATGGGATTAGTGTTCAGGGTAAGGATGGGAAAGGGTTGGGTTTTATAGGATGCTCATAAGCTTCAATATATGTGTGAAAACTATAACAGGTTTTGGAATAAGTCGAGAATAGCTTAAGCCTAAGGATACTGAATAGAAAAGTCACATAATGGTGCTGCCACTTACTCGGACAGATCATCTACAACA